GGGGGGGGGGGGGGAGAACCAGAAGATAAACGTTCTTTTTTTTTTCTGTGATCCTACAAATAAGTATATACTCCCAATTCTTAATCGTTTATATAAAATCACGGTCTGTGAAACAATTACCAACCATTTGCTTACCCTGCTAATCTCTTAGAAAAATGCCTTTTAATCAGAAGACGCAATAATATGAAAACCCAAAAGTGGAGACTAATGCTAAAAGAGATCATAGACTCACCCTATGATCTCGGGAGGTTGTCCAAACTCTTAACAGCAGCTCAAAAACTGAATTTAGAAAAGACCTGCATCACATAAAGCCCTTGATTTGAGTACGTTAAACAAAAGGTTCAGCAGAAATATAACAGAACAGAGAACGTGGTCTCACATGACATCGCTGTCAAGAGGAGAATCTGAGGTAAGATCTGTGATGTATAGCCACACTGCCTGAGACCAGCACTTAAATGCTAGACATAAAATCAGTGATTCACATTTGAGACGAATAAGCAAAAAGATGGTACCAGAGACAAGCTGGGTTAGTTAAAATATACTGGTTCTTCCTTGTATTTGTAATTGATGCTCATGCAAATTACATGATATGTGTTTTTCATCTCTTCCACCAATTCGAGAGTTCGAAGATATACAATCAACAGGTTAATATATCCTACTTTCCTGTTATATGAATAGAATTTCCATTTTGGTTCAATAAATGAACAAACTCTGACATGATGGCCATTCTTTTATAGGATAAAGGAGGAAATCGGCAATTTCTACAAAAGAATTTCACTAACTAATCAAAAACAGATTACAAAGGATTCACTGTACCATTTGCAAATATTGGTCGGTGTACATCTCGAACATTCCCAAGAATAGGCAACACCCTTGAAAGTACATCTTTCAGGCGTGGAGTGAACTGCAAAGCTTCAAATAAAATATGAAAGTACTTCAATATATCAGAGAGCTGCAATTTCCAAAAACCTTACAATGCCAGAAGCAAAAGAAAAGGAACGCAGATGAGAGTTAGAAATTAACCATCAGATGAGGCAAAGTCAGCAAGAATTTGAACCATAGCAGGTGAAGCTGAAGCTGGACCAGACAGATGAAGAAATATTTCTTCCATCATCTGTCATGTCAATTAAGAAAATATCAAAATTATACTAAACAAATTAATTTGTATTCAACAAAAATAGACTTGCTGAAATAAAATCAAGGCCATCGTCTAGTGGAATAGGCTGTTATCTGACAGTGCCACAGTGGAGAGAAAATGGACACTATCTAAAATGGCTCAATTCAGAACCTAACATGACGACAGATGAAAGTCTCTGCTATGGTTTCATCATCAGCAACTCATCTAGTATCATGCAATCTATCAAAGTTAACCACCTACTTCAGTATACTGATCATTCCTTAAAGTTAGATTCACATGTATGCAGAGTCCAAGAAGTAAATCCAGATCGTAATGCATCTCTCATCAACGATTACAGCAAACTTTTGTCTATACTCTGTAGTAAAGGTATCAACTCAGGAATGTACAGTCACATGGAAAACAAACAATGGTTTTCTTTCTGTCCAAACCCCCTCTTAATAAGCAAAACGGAAGAAAAGAAAGACTTACAAGATCAGGATAATGTGTTCCAATTGAGACAAGCAGCCCTGACGCTTGCCTTTGCCAATCAGCATTTAGTTCCTAAGTTATTATAGAGCCATAAAAGATACTAAAATGATCAGGAAACATATACAATGCGCGAAAGTTTGCAAGAATTGCAATTGTGTAGAAATTATTGTGTTACTTATGATTGATGAGAATATCTCCATCATTTAAACCTGAAATCTCTAAGGAAAATCTGTAGGTAACCTCTGCTATAAAAATAGGCGACATATGATTCATCTTCTGTCCAACGCACAAGAAACGTTCACAAACCTTCTAAGATTCAAATGACGCAATGTACATCGAAACAGAAAATTCCAAGAGAGCGAAAAGCCACATATACCATTTATTAATCGTAAACAAGCTATTAAATTTTCAAAACCGCATCTATGAAATCCAGCCTCACTATCTAAAATCTATCAAACTATAGTATACAAGAAAATCTTTAGCAATGGTTCAGCTTTCACAACACACACACCTTGGAAGAAATAATCTCAGCTGTAGCAATCTTAGCAAGCTTTCCCATGAAAACTTCATCACTCTCCCCTGTCTCCAACGCACCAACACTGAATGCCATCACTTGAAAAACCCCAGCCATGTTACCAAACCGCTGCAACACACCAGATTCATGCAACCTATTAAATCAACACAAAACACTACTAAAATAAACAAGAAAAACAAACACGTTACCCTTCTTCCTCCACGTGACACAGCATAGCAACAATCTAGAACCAGAAGCGGATTCCTAACAAAAAAAAACAGACAACATACATACTAATCTAATCACACACGTTTCTTGCATATCAAGTAAAAAGAGAAACAAATACATACAGTGAAGCAATATCCCTCAAGGAAGCCATGGAAGCTTCTCTAACCACAGAGGAATCATCAGCCAAAGAAGATACCAAAAGCTGAACAGCCTCTGCCATAACCATCAAAAAAAAAAAAACTCCAAAATCAAAACTTGATCAAATGAATAGCTCCATCACCACATCAATTGTTGACCCAATTCCATAATTCGAAAAAATTCAAATCAATTTGAAGATTCTGGAAACGGTTACCTGGCGCGGGGATTGAGCTGCCCAGGCTTGAAGAAGCCATTCGAAATCGAAGGTTTGTGATCGAGATCAGGAGAGAAGCTCTCTCGGTGGTTTATAATTGCGTCGCCTCTTCCACGGAGGACTTGGATGTTAAAAAAGGAAAATGTTTGGGGGAAGAAAACAAATATATGAAACCAATTGAAAACGATTGGACCCATGCCCGACAACCCGGGACGGGTACTGTGTCGGGTGTTAAGCCCGTTGCTTTTGGATCATCTTCTTGTTGGATTGTTATTATTAGATTGTTGAGCCCAATAATTTAGCGGTGGTTAGGGATGGGGGGGGGAGTAAACCGAACCGAATTTCTTCAATTTAAACCCAAACCAAGTCTTATGATATCATATAAAGGTAATTAATATGATCATGTTGTCACATGGTCGAATCATAAATTTAAATTTTACATATAAAAACTCTAATAGAAGAAAAACAATAATAATTTACATTTTATGTCTATTTAAAAATCATCTATAACTAAAAGTTCATGCATTAGATTCAGCTGAAAAATTTTAAATTAAAATTATTACGTTTAAATATAAATAGTTAAATTTTCCTCGCTTATTGCGTGAATTACACTTCGGCGTATGCGAATATATGTTTAACTTGGTTCCTTGTAAAAGAAAATATAAGCATGGAAAAAAAGACTATCATAGCCAATAATAAGTAGTTATGTATTGACTACAAGTTAAACAAATAAACTTGAAGTTAATACATGATTTGGACATCAGCAAGTAGTATTGACATTTATGTGTTTTGAAAACAAATAAAAATTTATCCATCTAAAATCTGATCAAGATGTATAGAGTGTAAGTTATTCCCCTCATTTGATATACATCGTTTCATATGTTGTTATCACAGTATTTTTAAAGCTGATGTAGAATAGACCTATTATAAGCTCATTCTATTTTATTCACTCCATTTCATTTTAGTTGTTTTTAAAAATTTTTGTACATCGATTAAGAAATTATTTAATTTATATATTTTCAAATTTTATTTATACAATTAACCATATTTTAACCAATAAAAAATAGATAAAACTAATAAATTATGTATTTAAACTATAAAACGACGCTTATTTTAAAACGAAAAAAAATTCTTTAAAATGATAAATAAAGTGGAACGGAGAGAGTATTTAGAACTTGAACTATTTCTTCCTAAAACAAACGGTTGTTGATGATAGAGATGTTAAAAATACAACTACACACAAAATGTTCATGTTCGGAAACATGAGTTGGAGATTTGTTGATTTAACATTTAATCAAAGAAAAACATGAATTTTTGTTATCTAGTTCATCGTCTAAGCTTGTTTTATTTCTTCTATATTTTTCTATTCTGATTCAACATCAATTATTCTGCTTTATCCTCCACTTCTATCTATTCATCTGTTTCTGCTTGTTATATCTCCACTTCGTCTATTGATTCGTCTACTTCTACTTTGATTTCATCTTCTACAAGGTATGTGGGATCCTTAGGATCTTCTTTAGATTCTAAATACTTTATTGGAAAAGTGAACATTGGCATTACAGAAAATTATGATACATGCAACAAAGAATATAAGAGAAAATCAAAAATTAGATTTACCAATATGCAGCTAAGTATATAAAATAGAAACCAAGAATCAAATCATTAATAAAATATTATTGATAGTATAATGCATTTTGCAATGGAGGAAAACCGTATGAAGCTGGAAGATAGCGCCATACTCGGTTTTTCATTAGCATCCGGATTGTTCAACCAATGATACAATGAACATTGAAACTCATAATGTATACCTTAAGTTAAAAAAAAAAACTGTATGATAAAAAAAATATTAAAATTGTAACCAATATATATAGGTAACTGGTTATTGGTACTAATTTTTGGTTGTTTTTTTGATAAACTAAATTTTTGGTTCTTTTTTTGATAAACTAATTTTTGGTTGTTTCAAATAAAGCTCGACAAGTGTTGGCATATCCAAGACACCTTCTATCTTCACATAATGTGTTCAACAAATTAATTTAAGAAAATTTTGAGTTTTCAGCTAAACAATTTTGTTTTGAAAAGTTTATGATTCATTTCATAATATAATGGATTTCCTTTTTGGTAATTTTGTTTTCTTTGTATATGGCTTGAAATTGATAAGTTTATGATTCGTTTCATATTATAATGCACTTTTTGGTAATTTGTTTTTTTTGTATATGGCTTGAAATTGATTAAAACAGCGTGAAACTGTTTAAATCTAAAGCAAAAATAAAATAAAATTAAACATGTTTTTAAACTTAGGATAACTAAATTTAAGCCATAATTATCCATGAAACCCACTAGGGGTTTCTTAAATTTTCCTCTTTTTTTTTGCTGATTAAAAAGAAAATTAAAAAACGCACTAATCGCAGATCGTCACGTGTCGGTGAGGCCCATGCACAGTATCAGAAACACATAAAAATTATCTTTAATTCACTATTTCGGTTACCGTTTGCTATGTGTTTTTTTTGGGGGGGGGGGAGGGGGTCCGCATGCTAACTTTTCCTAAAACCCCATTAACAATCTGGGATAATGGTACCCTTATCAAAACTGAAATGAGAGGATTGGGCTTTGTTATGGCTTATAAAATTGGCTAGAATTTGCCAATGGGCTTATACAGAAGCAAATATAGTATAGTGGAAAAAGACATGATATGTTTGATAACATATGAATATATTATATAGCTTTATTTCTATTTTATTTCTAAAGAAAAATTATCACAGACAAAATTTGGTATTTTTAAAAAAGTAAAAATATATAATTCTATAATTAATAAATTATAGATTTACTAAGTATTCGATCGACTTAGTTAATTATAATATCTTGATTTGTTAACCTCAGTTAATTTTTTGTCATCTTTTAAACCATTTAACTAGCACGTCAAAATAATGCCATAAAACTATTATTTACTCGACAATAGTAATGTTGAAGTATTTTCTTGACTAAGTGTTGAAGTATTTTTCTTTGGCCGGCTGGATGGATAGACTAGCCGGTGTGGACTGTAGTTCGCAGACGTAACAATCATATCACTTTTATTTGTTTGTTTTTGCTGATAAACAGTTTTTTTCTATCCATGGTTGTTTTGTATTTGTAATTTGGCGGTATTTCTATATAGGTTATGTACGAAGTTTAACCTAGAGCAGACAAAAAACTAAAACAAAATAATATACATCCATTTTTTTTCACTCCAACAACTCTGTTATTAAAGAAGATGGCAAGGCTCCTGGGGTCCCAAACTAAAGGGTTGATAATATGCGATAAATTGAAACTTTTTGTATTGATATAAAATTTAGTTGTAACCTTGTTAACGTTGAAAAAATAATTTATTGGTTCATATACAATGTATATCAGTAACTATATATGCATATATTTTTTTGTCAACAAACTGGTTTCTCTTACTGTTTAAAGTATTTTTTATAATCATCTTTGATTTTATGCTTACTTTGGAGCACTGGAATACAATAATAGTAACTACACCGACCACAAGCCCCACAATTCAAAAGAGAGAGTGTATGCTCAAGCTCACCAAACCTAATCATTTTCGTAATTTATTAAGTAAATTTTAGGTTAAATAAAGATGATGAACATATAATGCTCTTGTAAAATTCTGATATGTTTCTTAAGAGTTTAACAATACAAAAGGAAAAATTACAGATTTATATTTCAAAACACAGGCCTATTAATTAAGAATAATATATAATAACATTAAAAAATAATTTTTATACATGCAAATTGCAAAAAAACAAAACTTAAACTAAAACAAATAAAAGTACACATTAATAAATTTTATGATTAAGTTGTAGTAAGAATATATGTATACTCATACGTGATGAATTACATAGTAATGTAGAGTATTTAATTATGAGGGTCAGTCTTTTGGCTGGCTAATATGTCTCCGATAATTCTATGTGACGTAGAAAAAAGAACACTCGTGATAGAACGATCGAGTCAGATATGCATAATGCAAGCCGTTTGGTATAATACGTGAGCCATTAATGTTCATTAATGCAATCATCCAAAAAACAATGGATCCACCTAAATACCTAAAAATCCGCAGCGGTTTAGGTATGTAATTCCAAATATATTGTACAACTTTATACATCAAAAAGTTTCACATGTTTATCACAGATTTTACATCAAAAAGCAATTTAATGTTTATATAATATGACAACTCCAACTTTTCTAAAGTTAGTTTAAATGTGGTACTAGAAGTTTCTCCAAACACACCCGACTCATGTGTGTTGCAATAAGGCAATCGCTTCAAACCCTTTCAATTTATACAAACTAGGGGCTCTTGTTCATGTAAAATATTAGTTAAACTGTTTTAACCATTCAAAACACTTAAAAAATGTTTACAGTTTTCTTATGACTACAGATTTGTAAACAAAACTTACCACGTTTTAGAATATGACAGCATATAATAATTAAAGAAATTGCAGTTTTCTAGACAACATTGAAACAACATACTATTATATCTTGCCTTTGGATGTTCTCTTATTTAATATGTTTTATTTATCATTTTACCTCAGTAAATTTCTTATTCTATTTTATATTGCATTTGATTTTTTTGTAAAAATTTGCATTCATTTTTTTCCTGATTTTCCCTCACTTTTTAGCTTCTTTGGCCCAGCAAAATAGTAACAAAAGCCGAAACCACTCAAAAGGGACAGGTTGCAGTGTAGTGGTAGGACATTCATTCATAAATAACCTTTTCTACTTAGTGGAGAACCGTCATGCAATTCTTTTTGCCCAAAATATTATTAGTTCACAAACCAAAACATATATATTATCTACCTGTATAGTACAAGTGAAATCTGTGGAAATGATCTGAAATGTTAGAAATGATTCAGTAATTATCTGTCTGCCTTCTCTTTTCAAATAATCAACGAAATAAGCTTATTAGCATATACAAAATTCAACGCTCTTCATGTCAACCACGCTGGATTTGATTCAATAAAAATACAGAGAAGACATTGTTTCAAAGATCCAAACTCCAACAGCTGGATGGATCTAAAGAAAATAAATGCATGTCAACCTTTTTAAAACAGTTTGAGTTATTTCCTAACTTATAATACAGAGCTTTCCTTATCACTGTTCATTTTTTAGGACAATAATCGTAGACAAGATAACATCTTATAATTCTCCTGTAGTGGGGGCGAATAACTTTGATTAGAATAAAACGTATGATTTGGCACAGCCATTATTAATGTTATCTAATCATAATTAAGAAAAAACATATTGTATTTGTCCATAATAGAAGGTTAGCACGTAATATCACTAAGGATATTAAATTCATGAAACCAGCCGTGACTTATCGACTCATAATGGCCTAAGATTTACCCATTACAATGGAGATAAAAAAAAAAAAAAGTTCACACAGAATGAACTTTTGGAAACTAAAATAAAACTTTCAAGAAACTTTGTATATGTCTATGTTTTTTCAAAAAAATAACTTCGTATATGTAGTTTCTTCTTTTCATCTAGAAGAAAACAATTATGAACTACATTGTGAAAATCAAAGCCTTTCTCAAAAAAAGGAAATTAATAATAGTGAAAATCTTGAAAAAATAATTAGAAAAAGAAACTTTTGCTACCAGGAACAAAAAGAAAATTGGTATTTTCTTTTCGACCTCTCGATCATTCGAGATAGAGAATATAAAAAGACAAAAGCCTCCATTTACGTAGAAACATGACAAGTCATTATCCTCCACGTAGATGGTCGGCTACGCTTCGCTGGATATACAGCGATACCACTTGTTTAGCCTGTTACTAAATTTATTCAAAACAAATTTTAAATCTCACCAGCTCCAATCAAATACCCTCCAACCAAATTTAACATATATTTCTTATTTTAAAAATAATTATATCAACCGGTAACAAGTCACAAAAATGGCGCCACCTCAGATATAAGTATGAGCAGAGAGTAGACCAAAAAAACCATCTCACTCTCCAAAACATTCACAACATTTAATAATCTCAGCCGTTCGATCTTTCTCCGACCATGCCGATCAGAAACATCGCCGTTGGCCGTCCCGATGAAGCCACCCGCCCCGACGCCTTAAAGGCGGCGTTGGCTGAGTTTATTTCAACTATGATCTTTGTCTTCGCCGGCTCAGGCTCAGGAATGGCTTTCAACAAGCTCACTGAAAATGGAGCCACCACTCCCTCCGGCCTCGTAGCCGCCTCGTTGGCACATGCTTTTGGACTCTTTGTCGCCGTCTCCGTCGGCGCCAACATCTCCGGTGGACACGTTAACCCTGCCGTTACTTTCGGCGCTTTCGTTGGTGGTAACATCACTCTCCTCCGTGGTATACTCTACTGGATTGCTCAGCTACTTGGCTCAGTCGTTGCTTGTCTCCTCCTCAAGTTCGCCACCGGTGGTTTGGTATGAATAATTACCCTTTTGCCCTTATAAGACATTAACTGATTGACCATTGGTTTTGGTTTTGGTTTGAGTTCTATAGGTTTTGTAATAAAAATTGTACTTTCACCTCTTTTTGCCCTAACTTATCTACCAAGTAACTAGTAAACTTTCATTTTTTTAGATTGATTTCGCAAGAATGTTAAGCATTTTACATGAATCAGACTATATTAACTAATGTTCCCATAGGTTTTTGTCTGAGTTCTCTAGGTTCTGTAAGAAAATTGCATTTTCATCTCTTTTGACTAACTTCTTCCCCAAGTAACTAATTAACTTTCCTTTTTTGAACTTTCTTTCTAGGTTGTACCGGCTTTTGGCCTCTCCGCCGGAGTAGGAGTCTCGAACGCTTTGGTTTTCGAGATCGTGATGACCTTCGGGCTTGTCTACACAGTCTACGCCACTGCCGTTGACCCCAAGAACGGAAGTCTTGGAACAATCGCTCCCATCGCAATCGGTTTCATTGTTGGTGCCAACATCTTAGCAGGAGGAGCCTTCAGTGGAGCCTCCATGAACCCCGCCGTGGCTTTTGGACCAGCGGTTGTAAGCTGGTCGTGGAACAACCACTGGGTCTACTGGGCCGGACCTCTTGTTGGTGGTGGACTCGCTGGACTCATCTACGAGGTTTTCTTCATCAACACCACCCATGAGCAGCTCCCAACCACCGACTACTGAATCAATCTCTCTGTTTCTCTCATGTGTAATTTGATTTGTCGTCTTTGAATTTCAATGTTTTTTTTTAAGTTTGTGTAATTTCGCATCAGCATGGGTTTATGACCGTTGGATCTTTCAAATGAATCATTTTCTGTTTGATTTCTAGAGTTGTAATTGCAAATATTGTGAATTATGTATCTATCTCATCTTACGTTTGTGCCGTTTCGTCTATTTTGATTAATATGTCCTTGTCACTTTATTAGACATTAACTTAAATCCAGAGACTCACTCAAATGGAGTAGTTGTATACTCTTAGACATATATATATATATATGATTTTGATTATGACGGAATTTTTAGTAAATAAGAAAAAAAACTATGAATGTACTATACTAATTTACATTAATAAAAAAAATAACAAGTGTTTGTCCTATGAAATTATTTTGGTGCTAATTAAGGGTATAATTTAAATGCCTTAGAAACTTTGATACAAGTTTCTTCTTTAAAATACTTCATTCATCTTCGTCCCTTAAATGGGCATATATAATTTGAAGTCTTAACTAGAGACTTTAAATGATAGATATGAGTGATCGTTGAATGAATCTTAAGCACGTATAAACTATGTTTTCGTAATCAGGATATTTGCTGCTATGGTTGATCTTCATGCTCGTTTTATCCATATTTCTACACTTTGTCAAATCCTTCGTGCCTATCATATCTATACATTAATGGAATTTGTTACAAAAAAAAAAAACATTTATTGAATTTGTCGTATTTTTGTAGAGACATGTGTGTACACAGTATAAACTTGTATGTAAAAATTTGAAAGATTTATATCTTGGCGTTTTGCAGTGCGGGAGTAAAAAAATCAAATTGTAGGGTCACTGAATTGAGGCTAGTAGTCACTACTCAATAGTGATTAAGGCTTTGGTGACGCAGTATTTTTTGCATTTCGTAATTAGTACCGGTCCTGACATGAGAAAGACCAGAAGCAATTTTCTAAAAATTGGCCATTGTATAAGAACATTTATATACTATAATAATAATTTTCTTATAAAAGAGATTGAATTTTTCAAATATTTTTTGAGGGTCGGAAGCGGTTGCTTGTAATGCTTCCCCTCAGGACCGGTACTGTCGTAAAGCATGTGAACTAACAGAGAAAGAGCAAATGAAGTTTCCTGAGATTATAATTTATATCATTATGGTTAGTAAGCAGAATCATTATACCATTTTGATAACACGCTATAAAACAAATTAACCTCAAAAATAATTCACACGAGCTTTATATATGGTTGATGCGTAACCACAAATACATTATATGCTTATATTAATTGTTAGGGAAACACAACACAACCCAACGGAATGACATATAGGTTTTACAAGAATTTTCTTTTAAGCATGTTGCATGATCGTTTATATCAGTTGGCTAATGTTTTCGTTATGTTCCAAACCAAAATAGTTCGTTCTTTGTGTTTCACATGGTTAGTGCTAAAACTAGAAGATTCCGATTTCACTTTATATATTCAGATCTTTGGCTAGATTGATAAGGATGCGCAGAAGCACGTGAATACGCATGCACCGTTTCTAGCCTCTTCATTAGTATTCTTTTATTTATTTATCATTAATTATGAAATTGAAGTTTCATTATGGTGGTATACCAACCTCCTGTTCTGGAACTTCCAGTGTGAAATTTAGTTCCATAAATGTTTCTATGTTCGAAATCATATACTGATGGAACATAAAACATCGTAAGTCTATATGATTCTTCATAATAAAACATGGTTTTCATATATATATATTGTGAACTGTGGCCTGTGGGTCTGTGGAGACTGTGCCCTTCCAGTGTGATCAATACTTTCTATAATTAGGTTAATACTTAACCTGAAGATTATATTCGCCATGTAGATTCATTTTCTCATCTACTTTTGTAAGAAGCATACAATCATTTTCGTAAAAGAAAGCACGCAATAATTGAAGTTAGAATCATGAGTGGTAAAAAAAAAGAAAAAAAAATTATCAAAAAAAAATAATTGAAGTTAGAACAATGGCGATGATTCTACTGTCTACGACACTATACACGTACGTTTTCTTGTCGATTTTAGTGTAAATAATACTCGATTTCCATGTGCAGTCTCCTATGGGATGTTTTACCTAACATTCTGTAGCTTTCTCTTTCCCTTTTCCCTAGAAATTTGATTTATCAATTTTTCTGTCTGAATAGTATAATAGAGTACACTCATGAGTCATGGCATATTTTGTCAATCATACGGCTCTAACATGTCTGATTTTATTAGGTAGAAGAGGTCGGCCACATGAACTAAACACAAACTTTACTTGGTGATATATATTATCAAGTTATCCGGAAATAGATGGATTATAAGAAAGATGATCGCACGAATGATAGTTTTATTCTCTAGTAGTTCCTTTCTTGGAATTTTGAGTATCACGCATATATAATGTTCTAGCAATTCTTTATCGAAGTATTACTGATACTTCAAATATGTTATTGATACTATACAGAATACGACCATCAAGGCATTAAGTAACCACTTTGTAGCACAAAATAAATATCATAACTAAACAATATGGTATAGAGATTCGCACGAGGGACAAGGCCAAAAAACTAGCAAAAGTGATGGAAGTATGGACAGTGAAAGAGGACAGCTCTCACTATCTGCTAGAAGGTAAATTATCCGAGAAGTGACCTTGCATGAAATTATTGGTGCTTGGTCCCACTTTCCTGTGTTTTTGTTTTGTTTTATTTTCTTCCAATTATTTACCGAATCTTCAGTCTTCACCAGCCCTCTAGGGAAATGTCCTTAGGAATTTTGGTGAACTATGATTATAAGCGAAATTTTTTGAATAGCTAATTACATGTGCAAATTAAGTTGTAGTGAGGAAAAAGTATATATTATGACTTTGCAGTTTAAGATAATTCTTACTGCTTTAAGTTCTTGCATGTTTCATCTTTCTTGTTATACAACCAAAAGAGAACACATGGTGAAAGTTAGATCGAACTGCGACTATCATTAAGGTGTAGCTTCTTTTTCTTCTTTGTAAATTGAAGTGCGTAGTATTGCGTGTATACGAGTTATTGGGTTTGTGGAGAGAAATTGTTGACAATTCGAATTCATTTGCCTTCAAAAGAAAGAAAAGGAAAACTTCGAATTCATGTGGGCCGGTGCCAACACCTCTCCGTCATTATTTTGAAGTCTCAACAATGTCTTTGTTGCCAGCCACAATGGTTAGGCATGGGCATTCGAGGTCCCGTTCGGATTTCGGTTTTGTCCAATCGGTTCTCGGTTCTTCGGGTTTATTAATCAGCTCTACTCGGATTATTTGAAAGTTCGGTTCGGGATCGGTTCGGGTTCTATCGGTTTCGGGTCGTAATTAGTAAATCTTTAAAGAACCGGTACAACCCGTTATATTTTCGGATTCGGGTCCCACTCGGTTCTTTGATTTTAAAATACTTGATTTATACCTACTTTGTAACCAAAACATAAATAAAATCGGTTATTCGGATTTAAAGTACCTAATGAGTAACTATTTTGTAACTAAAACATAAGTAAAATTGATTAAAAATAAGAAAAGAACATCAAACTTGATCATTCAAAATAAAATAAAAGGTAAACATAGTTATTAATAGAAAGGAAACCAAATAAATAAAAGCATAAAACGAAAACCAAGATCCATTCGGTATTTAAATCGGGTTCGGATAGATTCAGATTCATTTTTATCGGATCGGGTTTGGTTCGGGTTTTAGGGTTTGGTTTATTTGCCCAGCCCAATGGCCATGTTTTTTTTTTAATAATTAAAATATATATTAAATTCGACCCTAAAATAGAGGATCGTTCAGCCCTAACTATAGATCCTAAAATCCACACTAAATGTTCTGTAGTGATCAAAAATTAAATGTAGGGAAAACAAATTATGTGGACAACAATGCTCTTTGAACACAACGATATAATCGGAATCAGTTGACAAAAATTGACTTTTATTGATATGAGGTTTGATACAAAACGATATTTGAGATCGAGAATAACAAAGAGAGATCGAAACTATAAACAAACTAAAGACTAAGAAATAAAATCGATGTGAGTAGTAGTGAGTTCTAGGGTTTTCCGTGTGTCATTTTCTCTTCTCCTTCTTCTCCTTTTATAGTTGATGTTGTCTTGACCGATCTCTTTGCTTCCGCGATCTCTGGAACTCGATTTTGTTTTGCTCGTTTTAAGCTGGGTTTTAAACAAAAGTTTAAGGACCAAGGTTCATCTGGTTATGGCCCAAAATTGGATCCACACTAACCATGGTTAAGAACCGGTGAACGACTGATTCTAAGGCACTGTTCTTACTGATGAAAAAAAGCCATGGTGCACTGCTTCCTCAGCTAGCATCGCTCCACCTCTCCTTTGCCATTTTTTATATCTTTTTGGATAGAAACATTTATCTTCTTACCAAAACAAGCTTTGTGGTCAGTTTCCAGATTGTCTTCGTATGCATTGTCTCCGTTTCTCCTACATCTACCCATCATCACTACTGGGCTTAAACTCAGCCCATTTAACAGAAACACAAAAGGTTTCCTCAAAGACCATTTTCCTCTTTATATATATGACAAAGAACTCTCAGCACAACAGTACAAGTACAAAGACTTACCTTACCTTCTTCTCTCTACAGAACCACACTCTCATTTACAAAATTTACACATTCTATCTCTCATTAACATATAAAAGCACACTCCAACCATATTTACACATTTGCAACGTTATAGAAAATCCGGTTTTATCAGATTAATTACCTCATAACACCTTAATCTACATTACACTCATTGCCATCATAAAATATGTGTCTGAGGTCAGCTAATGGTCCTGAGTTTCTTAAAACTTCACTCCCATCCCATCAAAGTACTCCACACTTGTTCCTCTATCTTGCTTCTCGAGACCGTTAAGCTCTCCTCTTCGTTGATCAACACTTTGTACACCTCCCATTCTCTGTCTCCCGTCAAGTGTCTTCCAATCTCAGCCTAATTAAAACACATTTATTCATTAGATGATGAAACAAGTTTGTTCTTGGTATGAGATGTCAGTTATATACCGAGAAGATGCAGGTGTTGATCTTCTTCAGGGCAAGTGCAATGTCATGGAAGACTTGTGGCCGTCCTTTTCCTGATAACTCAACAGGGTTTGTCACCAAAAGTTCAGTATCAGGACCTCTATTCATCATTACCACTCTCAGAGGTTGTTGCAGCTCTGCTCTTAAACGAGAAACCAATGCATCTTGCTTGCTTGAGTCAAGAAGCTTCCGACCATCAGATTGCACAATGAACAAGTCTATCTCACAGTTCTTTCCTCGTTTGATCGTAAAACGCCCATATGAGATCTGCTCACAAAACCAAGATTCAAGAAAATGAGTCACATGTGAACATCATAGAGATAAGGCCTTTGTGCACAAACCTGGATGTTGAAGTCCTTGAAGGTTCTCATGATATCATAGAGAAGGCCTTTGTGCTCTTGACAAGTGATTTGAATGAGTGTGTGAGCTCGGCTTAACGTGTTGTCAACTGCAATTGACACACTGCTTGAAGTGTGTAGCCCACTTGGATGCTCTCTCAACACATCCGAGGAGAACAATGTTTCTGCAAAGGAGGAAGAAGCTGGCGAGCGAGCTGTGATCTCTGAGCCAACAAGTTGAATGTCATAGCTCATCATTGAATCTCCAATAGCATCTTTCAGGTACTCATACACTTCCTCTCTCCTCTTCTTAGTTCCTAAAAGCTCTCTGACAACAACAAGAATAAAACACATTAACATAAACAATCCAAGAACACCATTTCAGATAGGTCAAATATTCGGTTTTTGGCCCAGTTCGGTTAGAAGCTTCGGTTCAATTCGGCAACTAAAAAAATTCGGTTTTTGGTTTGTTAACAGTTAGGTTGGTTTTCAAAAAAAAAAAAAATTAACCTAACAATACCAATCTTAACAAAATTTCAAACTAATTAACCAAAATCTGAACCGAAATAACCGAACTTAACCGATTTTTTTCGAATTTTATTCAATTTAAACCAAAAAAACAAAAACTTTGGTAGAAGATTTTGAAACCAAACTAACCGAAAACCGAACCAAATGTTTTGGTTCACTTTGGCGAGATTTTGATAGATCGGAACTAACCAAAGAAACAGAACCCTTCAGGTCTAAATTTTCAGAGTAACGTGTTAAACAATCTATGTAACTGATACCTAGTGTCTGTGACAAAGAACAAGTCCATCACTTTCCCATCAGGAGTAGTCGAAATCTTCACTTTCTCAATGTTAATCTCAAGCTTGTAAAGAACCTCAGTGACATCTAACAATACAGAACAACACAAAGTCTTATTATAAAAATCTTGAATAAACAATAAATCAAGAACCTAAAACAGATAAAAGAAGCTAACCATATAAAAGCCCTGTACGGTCAGAACAAGCTAGCTTCAACAAGTAAAGATCAAGAGGCTGAGACTCAGAGTCAGAAAGGTAACATCTTGAGATACCAAAGGCCCAAGCAAAACAAGGACTTGCCTCCACAAGTCTCGTCTTCAACAGATTCCATCTCGTGTTCGGTTTCCCAATCACCCAAAACACCAAGTAACACCATCTTCCGTCAGTGGATACATCTTTTAACACAGAGGCATTTCATCGAACACATTCAGATCACAAAACAAAACAAAAAAAATGAAATTTAGAAAATAAGCGTATAAAGTTGGTTTCTTTATTACCTCCTCTGACAATGTTGAGACCGAAGAAGAGGATGATACGACAGAGATCACAACCGAGACCAGTTTTGTCGGGACAGTTGATGGTGATTACACTTGGGTCGCCTTCTTTCTCAGATTGTCTGATTATCACAACGTCATCAGACAAAATACCCATCTCTCTCTGTCTTCTTCTTCTTCTTGTCTTTCAATTTTTTTCTGAAGGTTTGGGCTTTGGCTTTATTGTTAGATGGGGAAGGGAGGAGAGAGAGAGAGTCAAAGGAGCTTTAACTTCGTCGTTAGCCATGTTTTGTGCTTTTTAAGTTATGATTATACGTGTGAATCTTCTCGTTTTAGAACTAAATCCTAATTATACTTTTGATATTAATATTTAGAAAAATATTTTATGATTAATTGTATAGTCAAAGTGATAGGATTCATGTTGTTATTCTTGCAGTTTATTATTTTGAAGTGTATTTAGGTAGAATATGTTGTTATTTTTTGCAATTTATTATTTTTCAAGTGTATTTAGTTAGAATTGTTTGCTCTTGGACGTGAGGACTTTTAGGCGATTAATTAATTTTAAATTAATAAAGTAAATGAAAAGTCATACACATTTTACATATACGTGGGCACACTGTTTTGTTACCAGAGCGATGTGAGCTGTGTGAGGTGTGTTTCTTATTTTATATTTTTTCAGTTTTTTTTGTTTGATAAAATAATTTATGTTTCTGTTATTTTATAAACCCATGAATTAGTTACGAGAGACTTGAAACGGCAAGTCTAGCAGCGAAAAAATGTTGTTGAAAGGTTAATATATATTGCATTGCACCAGATATAAAAAACCTAAGAGGAATGTTTTTTTTTGGTTTTAGAATTGTTACAAACTTAATATAGAATGATGAAAAGCAAAAAGGAAAAAATAATTATGAGAGGATATAGTTCTTAGAACTTGGTGAGTGAGAGGCTGAATATTTTGGAACCAGGTTTGTGAAGATGGACTCGAAGATGGAGACTTTTTGAGGTCGAGAACGAGTTTGTTACGAATCAGTCAAAATACTCTCTGAATCTCGCAAGTTGTAACTGGTTGCATGAAAACGCATGCTGAGCCAAAGAATAATGTCCATAAAACTAAAATGGTGCTGAAGAATTTAATGTCCATAATCTTAAACCTCTCAGTTTATGCGTGATAAGAGAGACTCCAAAACACTTTACAGTCACAGTGATCCTTACGAAAGACCAAAACCTTGAGCAAGGCAACACGCTAAGTATTCATTCTAATAAGTCTAGAGATTTCAGACTTGATACAATTCAGCAAGAATCTTTACAAAGTTCTGTCTCTTTCCATCTAGACGAGAAAACATCAGCAAATTTCAGACCCATAGGCCCTAGCTAGTTGCTAGATCGAGTTTGATAGGACAAACCATTTTAAAGTTGGTGTTGTTTTTTAGTGAGTGGCTTAATATTACGTTTGGTTTCTTTCTAGATTTCTACAAGTTAATATGAAATAATGGAAGATATTTATAAAAAAATATATGAGCAAGTAGGAAGAGATAAAAATGGTCCTGCATCTTGCCTATCCAAATCGTCCAAAATGCAACTGGTAAAGGTAAAACTTGCAATATTAAACTCTTAGAGTCCATAGTAGCATCATGCATGTTTACTTTTACAAATAACACGTTCCTGTTAGACTTGCTTTTTCAGTGTTCTCTTTACAATTGTCTTTGTTCAACTATTTAATATTCGTGGGATATTTGTGCCAAAAGAGTAAAGAGTACCTATCACTTGACTATAATCGCGTTGGTTCAAGTCGATTTATTTGAAGAAACAAAGTGATCACATGAAGGAAGATTCAGAAAAGAAGAAAGTATAACGTAAATATGCAAAAGAACAATTACTGAACCCGCACGAAACCTCTTATGATACTGAAACCGACATATCTAAAGTTTGGAATTTCTATAATCTTTAAAAATAAAATAAAAATCAATTATCGTAAACCAACACCAAAAGCCTAAACCAGAAACAGTGGAAAAACTACGCACACTTTCAGTTTCAAGACATGTATGCATAATTTATTTAGGTCTCCACCACCACAGTTAAAAAGATATTTTGCTAATCCACACTACTGAATTCCACATGAAATTATAATTTTAATGAGACAATGATGTTTATCTGTCATTTTTGTGTACGTCGTAGAACCAATTGGATCTTTCCCAGTGAAGAATGTCAGTTAAAGACTGTTATCTAGAAAATTATAATAAACTTTTGGTTAATGGTAGATTACATAATTTTGTTACCATAATGCTTAAGCTATGACTGTAAGTACCGTTTAAGCCAACTAAAAGAATCCCGTTGGCACAAATTAATGTTACATCACGAGTGTTATACACCCACTAGCCACCACTACATGTATATACAATTTTTTTTAATTTACTCTAAACTTCATATTGGAGTAAGAAATGGAGTGAACTGCAGATGCTTTTTAGAACCCATATTTGCCCTTCCCAACTAATAATTATGCTAAAATAACTGATGTGTAAAACGTGCTGACGCTCGCTTCAAAGACATTGTAAAGGAGCGAATGAGAAACACATTAACTTATGATGTCATTTTAGGGAGAGAATCATAAATCTTACACACATCCTCTATACAACAAATAGTACATTTCCAGATAGTTGACATGTAACATGACATATTGAAACAAGATGAACCTCACGCTCAAAATGGAAAGAAATAAAGAAAGATGACAGGACAATGTTTAAAACCACAACGATGGTTTTCTTGACAATCAAAATTACAATACAAGAGATTAAGAAGAAGAATAAAAGGCAGAAATTTCAAAAAATGTATGGGATTATTCAGCAATAATTATTCAACAACTCAGTTCTTGCTATTACCAATTTTTTTCATTTTCTCTAAGCCTTTGGCTTGAGTGGCTTAATAACCTCCCAAGTGAAATCAGGATCCTCACGTCCAAAATGACCATACGCCGCCGTTTTCTGGAACCTAAAGTTACCACCTCTCTTCAAGTCCAAGTTAATAGCCATCATCCCTGGCCTAAAGTCAAAAGCTTCCTTAATCAACACAAGGATATCCTTATCCGGAATAGTCCCAGTCTTATACGTGTCAACAAACACCGAGAGCGGCTCAGGCACACCAATAGCATACGAAACCTGAACAATACATCTACGAGCAAGCCCCGCTGCAACCACACTCTTCGCAGCTTGTCTAACAATGTAAGCACCGCTTCTATCAACCTTGGTCGGATCTTTCCCTGAGAAAGCACCTCCACCGTGAGCACCCCAACCACCATACGTGTCGATGATGATCTTCCTCCCCGTGAGTCCAGCGTCACCGTGAGGCCCTCCAATCACAAACCGACCTGATGGGTTAAGATGGAAGATGGTCTTGTCGTCAAGATACTTAGCCGGAATAACCGGTTTGATCACATGCTGCTTCAAGTCCTTAGCGATCTCATCGTTAGTAATGGTCTCATCATGTTGCGTCGAGATGAGAACCGTGTGGACACGAATCGGAATCATCGCTCCATTATCGTTCTTGTACTCGACAGTGACTTGTGTTTTCCCATCAGGTCTCAACCAGGGACAAGTCTTGTTCTTCCTCACTTCAGTAAGCTTCGCACCAAGCTTGGTGGCGAGAACATGAGTCAAAGGCATAAGCTCAGGAGTCTCGTCTGTAGCGTAACCGAACATGTGGCCCTGATCACCAGCTCCGATGTCTTCTGGCTTCTTGGTTAAATGACCGTGGACTCCCTGAGCGATGTCGGGGCTCTGCTGCTCGATGTTGACTAAGACATTGCATTTGTCGGCGTCGAGACCGACGTCGGCAGAGATGAAACCGATCTCTCTGCAGGTTGATCTGACGATTTTTTCGTAGTCTACTTTGGCAGAGGTTGTGATCTCGCCGAAGACCATGACCATGTTGGTCTTGGTGCATGTCTCGCATGCGACTTTGCTTTCGGGGTCTTGTTCTAAGCATGCGTCGAGGATGGCGTCGGAGACTTGGTCGCAGAGTTTGTCGGGGTGGCCTTCGTTGACTGATTCAGATGTGAATAGGAACGTTTCCATTTCTGTAGATTCAAAAATACAATTTATTTTTATATTCTGAATCTAAAAGAGAATATTAGAAGCAGAAAAAGTTTCAAAAAATTATTCTAATGTTTTTTATTCTAAAAATTGGTTTAGATGGTCATAGATCGTTTTATAGAAAATCAAATTTTGACAATTTTTGATAGTTATAAGCCATTTTAAATCTGTTTAAAATGGATCGTTTTATTCTAAAATCGTTTTATCATTTTAGATCGGTCTAAATCGATCTAATGTTAAAATCTATTAAATAAAATAATAATGTTAGAATAAATTTACAGATTGTTCAAATTGTATATCTATAATTAAAGTAAAACACTAGAATATCTTATACAAATTTAAAATATAAATAAATCAATAATTAGTTAATCTCCTTCACCTATGTACCAAATAATTCGAGTGGTCATTGTTCTCTACAAATGCCGTAACTACCTACTAACAATTTTTTGAACATTGGTTCTTCTACCATGTTTTCTGATATGTTGAATACTTTTGTTAATTTTTTATAAGATTCTGTATATGATTTCACAGATGTTTTATAAATTTTCAATAGATTTTTATAGTTATTTTGGTGATTTGGATATTGACTAAAACTCGATCTAAATCCGAATATAACTCGATCTAAATCCGAAATAAACACTCAACGTCCATGCCATAGTCAGATTTAACAACACAAACACAAGGATTCCAAATCGCGAACCAGTGATTACCACATAACATACAAGCAACAGCACAATGAACAGATTTAATCGAAGAAAGAGTGACAATAGATTATATAACTAAATCGAAGAAAACAAACCTTATAAACGAAGAAGTAGATGGATTTGCGATCTAGAGAGAAACGAGAGAGTAAAATGAGAGAAAAGATAATGAGATTTATTTATTGAGAGATAATAAAGAGTTAGTGAGTGAGAGGAGGAGATAAACTCGCCGCGTGATGAGGAAGGAGTTCGACTCGTTCTGTTAAGTGTTTGCCCGCTCTTATCGTGCTACCCTTCCCTTTCCGTTTATATTGTTGGTGAAGCTATAATCACGTGTTTATGAGTGTACAGTAGTGAAATGATTTACGGACCGTTGATCTTGTTTTGTTAGTAATGGACGGTGAGATGTGTAGGTAACTATAGTCTCTCCTCACCAACCCCGTCGTCGTTGGTGTGGGTTTGGTTGGTGATATGAGCCAACCTGATATCGACATCGCAATTGGATCAGTGTATATACAGCAAACTCCGACCCGGATCCAATATAATTTCTTCTTTTTTTTTAATATATAACAAATTAACATGTTTTTTTTTGAAAAAGAAAGTAACATGTTTGTGTTTTGTCTTTAAATATTATGTGTTTGTTGGTGACGGTGCTTATTCAGATAAAAAAAACTATAAACTACATATACATGGATATTAAAAACGTTAAGACGTCTTTTTATATGAATAAATATAACAAATTAACATGTTTGTATTTTTGTCTTTTAATATTTATGCGTTTGTTGGTGATGAATGTTTATTCAAATCAAAAACTATACCGATGCATGTTACACGTTCTTTACAAGCTTTTTGCCTCTCGATATAATAAAATGTTAACCACAAGATGGTGGTTTAGTGGTAGACGAACTTTGAGATTTGCTAAGTAACCCGGGTTTGAAGGCACTCCAATACATCTTATCTTATGGCCACGCGAATATAGGTCTATCTTACGGCCATTTGAATACCCGGAGTGAGGATTCATCCGTGGGTTGCAGCACTCATTTGGGGATTAGTTTGGGCCTGTCCATGGGCTTGAGATACCCCCAAAGTTAAAAAAAATATATATATATATATATATATATATAAAATAAAATGTTGAATGTTTTTATATGAATAAAACTAGAAAGGAACTAAATAAAAATGGTTGTGGTAACAGCTGCAAAAAGAACCACTGTCTGCCTGAGAGAACAGATGTCAAGTCCAAAACCATCACCAAGATAGTTATAGATGAATGTTTATAAGCAAACACAAGAACAAATTCATCCGCAGAACACGTGTGTTATATGATGCAACAAAAATTAAAAAGAAAAGCATGAAAATATGTACCATTTTCCCTGGATGGCCCCAATGAACAAGTCAATCAGGTAGATTCAAGGACTTTACAATCTCAACAAAAGGTCCAGTAACATATTTTACGGTTTGCAGCTTCCACAAGAGAGATGGAGATTAGTATTTTCTCGTGGTTCAAGTGTTAACTAGGTAGGTCAATATCTGAGAAAAAACGATTTGGATTGACTTCAACATTTATCACAAAGCCACAATTGAAATGTTTTCCTACAAAGGGCGCTGAGAATTGTGTGGGTTACCTCCAGGGAGAGAAGCAATGAGGAGGAGAGGCAAAGGAGAGACTGATGTTGTTTTCATGATAACAAACTAACCGTAACCTCTGGCCTGGGCATATACATTAATACATTATACAGTTGCTTCCATAATATACATTAAGTACATTGTTTTTCGGGTTTTCCCCGATCTATATGACGATAATATACGGATTGAATACTAGTTTATTTCAGATAGTTACATGTATAAATGATTCATAATTGTGAGGGTTAACATATTAGAGATATTTTACTTTACACGTCTACATTCACCAGATTCGTAGGCACCTATTTGAGTGGAAAATGGCGATAAACCCCTATTATATGTTTTACTAAAAGACCTCTTTATCAATTATTGATCCATTTAATAAAATATTATTATAGATTGATTATGACCTTTCGGTTTAACCATGAAGTCACTGAGAAATGATTTGGGGTAGGGACTGCATCGCAACAACTAGGTTAATAATTTGTGTGCGTTGGAGAGAAATCTGTGAGATGAGCCGCTGAATTCTGTTGCCTCCAGACATTGTAATGGAGTGACTGAGTCGCAAGTTGAAAGTCGATTACTAATAACACACACAATTCACAAGTTCATGACTAGCAACGATAGACAGCAAGCAACTGCTATTAGGTGAATGAAGTGTGTTAGTGTTACTATTAAGTCAGTGGTCGTGATCAGTAAGTGTGTAGCTCTCCAAAATAATAAATGAGTGTGACAAAGCTATATTTACAATTTGGAAAAGTCTGTTAGATATTATTTTGGAAAGTGGCACACCAACTTAACACAACTTAAACCGCTGCCCCATCAAAATTCAGAAACGAAAAGAAAAAAGATGCCATTGTATCTGTGTAATACACATACATTAAGCCTAACACTAACACAAAAATCTTTGTATAAAATTAATAAATGCTTATGCATGATTCTCCCTCCCATAAGAATATATGTCAGTGGTTGCTCAAGAAAAAAGGAAGAATATATGTCAGTGTGGTGGCCTCGCGATCAATCACTTTGACAAAGTCTTGTGGAGAATGACTTAGTCAAACATTTCACTTGATTTTTTGGAAATTAAGTACACGGTCACAGTCATGCTTTCTCTACTTTTTGGTTTAATGTCAACTTCTCTTTTATTTTATTTTGTTTTTTCTTATCACTAGTCTTTGAACAACTATTTCCTCCTATTAGTGTACAGTGTACCAAGAAGATTACTACCATGCATGTAAATGTTTGACTCTAAAATCTGCCTACATGCACCATTTTTTTTTTGAAACTACATGCACCATTTTTCATATCTCACCATACTTTCTCATACCATATATATTTGATTACTGTTTGAATATATGTAATACTTTATATCAAACAAAGCCATCTTGTATGCATTGGGTTATTTAGTGCATATATCCATTAACTATTGCTAATCTGAAATTTGCATAAGAAAATCTGAAATATGCTGGTTCTGGTTGGTTTGATTCAGTTTAATTCAATACTGACCAATTATAAAAGGTTGATTGGTATCTTTAAAAGACAAACACGTATGTTCAATGGAAAGGGGACGTCAAATGAAACTTTAAACCATTATCCAATTTGTTTTCTTCCCACAAACCATTTGTCCAATTTCTTAAAATAAATACATAATTATTAATTTCGTTTTCAATACTTATTTTTTATTTCTCCACTTTCACAACTTAGACCAGCTGTTATTGTTTTGCTTTGGTGACTAAAATACACGCATATTATAGTAATGAAGGCAATCCACATGGGGAGAGGAAGAAAAGACATAATGGAAAGAAAAAAGAAATTAGGTTTTTCATTGACTTGGGCGTTTTCCAAATACTTTTAGCAATAAATATGTCTCACTCTTTGATAATTATAGAACCATAGAACACTTTTTTTTTTCTCTGCTTCTCTCTTTCAGAATACAAAACAAAGAATATTCCTCAAGAATAACACATAGATTAGCAAGGACCAATTGAGAGATCGGATAAAGATGGGGAGAGCTCCATGTTGTGACAAGGCAAATGTGAAGAGAGGTCCATGGTCTCCTGATGAAGATGCAATGCTTAGAGATTACATAGAGAAACAAGGCACTGGTGGCAATTGGATTGCTCTCCCTCACAAAGCTGGTATATCTTAGTTTTATTTTTGTGTTTCTTTGGATTTTTTTACCTTTTTGATTGAGGATCTTAGTTCATTTTCGTTATCGATGCATAAAGGTTTAAGGAGATGTGGGAAGAGTTGCAGACTGAGATGGTTGAACTATTTGAGACCAAACCTAAGACATGGAGATTTCACTGAGGAAGAAGACAAGATCATCTGCAGTCTCTTTGCCTCCATTGGAAGCAGGTTAAGAAAGTCTAGATTCAACTTCTAATACTAAAACTGAAACTAGTCCACTATGAATTTTTTTGTTCTTGGTGTATATACCTGATCATCTTAAAGATGTAAAAACTTAAACCTTGTTTAAATCATGGGAAGGAAATGAAAAAGTGGTTATATCAAAAACTAAGAGACTTTGCATGTTTCAAGGACGTTTCAATCTCTCTTTTTTTAAACAAATAAAAAAAAAGTTATTGATTATATAGGTATTGCATACCCACCTTTTGTGCAGTATAATTGCCTTCTTTTGAGGGTATATTCTTTAGTTCATAGTTTAGGAAAATAAATGGAGCAAATTCACTTTGAAAACTACTGAAAAATTAAGCTTACAGGTTTGTTTTTATTTTACTATTATGGCTACATGAAGGAGTAAATCATGTTGAAAATGCAGGTGGTCAGTGATAGCAGCTCACTTGCCTGGTAGAACTGATAATGACATCAAGAACTATTGGAACACCAAGCTCAAGAAGAAGATCATTGCCACTATGGCTCCTCCACCACCTAATCACCTCCTAGCCATTGCTTCGTCATTACCATCATCATCGTCGTCACAATACAACATGATCAACAGTTCTCTTCCTTATGACCCATCAATATCTACAAACGACCTGATCACACCACATGAGGGGATGATGATGACAATGATGGATCAACAACTATTATTCCAAGAAGACATGGGCAATTTGGGAAACTCTCCAGGCAGTAACAACCTCATAATGAGCCATCAAGAAGACAACCGAAAGCAAAGTACAAGCAAGGGAATATTGTTGTTAAGGGATGTAAGAAGTGGGTCATCAAGTACAAGAAGTACAGAAGCAAGAGTAAAGAGTAAACATCATGATTATCATCATGACGAGGAGGGGAGATCAACTGAAGATTATGGGATGGAGGAGATCAAGCAATTAATAAGTAGTAGCTGTACAAGTAGTACTACTAATAGCTTGTGGTTTGATGAAAACAAGACAGAAGATAAGTTCATGATGTACTATTGATCTCTCTCGCCATTGTTGGTTCAATTTTCTTATCCTCTCTTTTTCTCAATAATATTACAAACTTACTTTTTAAGAGCAGTTTAAATATTTTGTCCATTATCATAAAAGCAACTCTCTCAGATATCCATTTTTGAAATTTTTGTAACCAAAAAAATTTCCAAAGGAAAAAATGATCAAAATAAATTTTATTAAAGAGGCAAAAGACACTTATACCATTTGCTTATAAATATATAAATGTAAATAGATAATTTTAAAGAAAGTATAGTTTTGGATTATATGTTTTCAAATTTGAATTTCTTATAATTTTTTTTTAAAAAACTCTTTTTGAATTCAAAAATAATTTCTAAAACTATTGAGATTTTTATATTTATTTATGTATTTTTAATAAATTCAAACCTCATTCCAAAAACTCCACTTCTCAACTCTAAATCCTAACTATAGATTAGTTAATTCTAGGAATATATGTATATTTACCTTTATAAGAAATTATTTTGGTCACTATTTTCTTTGAGGACTATTTTGGTGAAAAGAAACTAAAAAGGCTATCTTAAACAATTTCTCTTATCATAATATTACAACATTTTCTTATTATGAATGTGAAGTCAATATTTTGTTGATCACATCAATTTCTAAATGTTTTATGTTAATTGTATTTCTCTTTGTATACTTATTATTTAAATATATTTATATACAGCTTTGAACTTTCTACAAAACTGAACTCCTTATGAACCAAATTAAAAAAAAATAATTGATAAAAATCCAGAAGTTTGACAGAAAATATGAACGACAACTGGAAAAAAAAACTAAAATAGGATTTTTTTGACAGTTGTACTTGGTTCATCACCACCTAAGTACTACTATCTTCTTCGTCAATTCAAGGGATGTCAATCTCAAGATTGGTTCCAGAAAGATGAATCAACAGTAACTCTACATAAGTCAAATTGTTTGCTTACCAAATAGCTACCTTTACAGAATCAATAAAACAAATTTATTAAAATCACTTTTTCAAACATTATAGCAAATAAGACTCCTGCTTTTTACAAATAAATATCCTCATCAAATCAAATATTATGACCCTACAAATATAAATCTGTCTAATAATTTCCAACTAATTTTGCTAATATCTTTAGAATACTAAAAGGAAATTGACCAAAAAATGGTTGGAGCTCAATTAAAATTACTAAGATCAGTTTTGGAACAAGTGCTATGACTATTGCCATGAATGTCTAATATGACCAAATTTTGGGGGAATTTGTTGACAAACAGCTAGCTTAGACCAACTATTTGCATAAGACTACTTCTAAAGTAAAAATCCTAGTAAATGCAAGAATTAGCTTTGTAAAGGAGATTTTTTTAACTAGATATTTTTTGCAGTGATCATGTATTTCAGAATGTATAATAAGGAGAATAAAGGAAAAGTGAATATCGTCTACAGCTGAATCTTTTCAATATGTTCAAAGGTTTTGGCAAATTGACTGATATGCATGAATGGATATATTAATTTTAAATAAATAACTAAACATGTTATAAAAACATTATCCAATATCTGGTGTGAGTATATGTATAACAGATGTTAAAATAATTTATAGTATAAAAGCTACCATTTATTCAATTGATGAAGATAAAGATCCAAACCGAATATGTTGCTGGATACAATTAGGGAATATATACCAAGTGTATAAAGGGTTCTGTACAATGAATGATTTATAAAACACTTGAGACTTGTGTAGTTAGAGCACCATTACTGTAGAAGTGTCTTATTCACAAGAAATCCCATTGCCAATAAACTTTGTCAACGATGCCTCCACCTGTTTGAACCGCACGGTGAAGCCTTTCTGCAGTGGGAGGAACTCCCCAGAGGTATGGAACCGCCACTGACATTGTTAACTTCTCCTGTAAACCCCCTTTGCTCTCTTTCTCTGCAGCAACAACCTTTAACACAAAAGTAAAAGAGTTAAATAGACTTGAGTGAGAAAGAATGTTCAGAGATTTCAACCCAAACCTCTCCACCATATTCTAAGACAGTGTCTTCAACAACATCACTAAGCATCTCCACGGAACGACAGAATCCAAATATACAGAGTCTTCTTCCCATATCAAGTCCCTGAAATTTTAAAAAGAGTGGGATAAATACATGTTGTGTGTCTATAGTGGTAAACTAATCAAGAAAGGGAATGTGTTGTATACGTTTGTAGCTGCGATGTCGAAAAGAGCTCCAAGGCATAGACCTTGGGCAGGATCCATGTAGGCACTTTCCTGAAACTTTGGGAGTTTCTTGGACTTGCCATTTTTCTTCTGTCACAAAGCATATGACTCAATTCCCACCAGAGATGATTACATAAAGAAAAAACAAATTTAAGCAAAAGAGCAATACTCTAACTACTTCAACAATGAGTCACAGTGAGAATCTCAAAAAATGGTTAACCAAAGTCTCTAACTTTAACCTTATCTAAGAAATTGCAGGCAAGAACACACACAAACAATGTTTAAGTAAAGGAAATGAAAATGCATACGTTAGATGATTTGATGCGACGAGGAACCATGTTGCCACCAATCTGAACTAGCCCATCAGAGGTGAAAAGTGTGATTCTTTCTTCAGGAACCCATTCAATGGCTGTAGAACATTAAAAAAACGCAACCTTTTGAATCACCAAGAAGCTACAGCGGTTTGATTACAAAAGATCAATAATGATCAATAAGAAACATCATGTGAATCAAATTACGCATGATTGAAATCAGGGAACAGAGACAAAAACAGAGTATCAAGATACCATCCTAATTTTGATTAAGATCATGTATCTAAACTTAAAATCACATTTTGGAGTTAAAGAACAATGGATCAGCAGTACCGTTGTTTCCATCGGACCATGGGAAGAAAGCATCATCATCGGAGAAGCTGCTACCGTAATGCGACGCCTTAGCTACAAATCTAGCCGAACGAGACGGTGGAGCACGAGGAAAAAGAGAAAATCGAGAAGAAGGAGCGGTGGTGTCCCATACGCGAGAGATCGTGAGGTGAGAGAAGAGAAGCGCAGAAGTCTCCGCCATGACCAGACAGAATCACAAAAACAGAACAGATGCGTGAAGCGGTTGAAGAGAAAATTAAAGGAAAAGATGGAGAACGAACAAGTCTACGCCACATGTTTTTTTTTAGAAATAATATCATTCTAAGGCAGTTTTATGTTTTTTATGTCATAATAAGACAGTTTATGCTACATAGGCAGTTTTTCTTAACTCTATCTACTTACTCTTCTAATCCTAAACGACATAGTTAGGAAACCAGCAACTAAAGATTTTGTTTAAGCATGAATTAAACTCAGCCCTTCATCTATATGACATCCAACGCTTCAGCTTCAACCTGTTTCTTTTGATTAGACACATATTTCTTCCATCTCTCTTCTTTTTTCTCTTTTGTCTTCTTCTCTTTCATTTCCTAATTTTTTTTTAAAAATCAAATCTGATTCTTATATTTTTTTTTTCTCATTTTTTCTGATGAAATCGTGTTCTCCATTACTCAATCTATCTTTTGAGATCTGTGAAGATGCATTCCCGATGTTGGTGTACACCTTATTTAATGTACACATGTTATTTTGTGTACGCTTTTTTGACACATACAGGTGTACATTCAAAATGAACTAATATATGTGGATAAGTTATGTTCATAAGGTACACTGGTGGTTGCTTACTAAAAAAAACCAAACTGCATAACAATAGGTGTATAGATGGTTTTAAGTGTTATTCATATCTAATGATTTCTAGCTTTGATTTTAGTTCATTAAATTTTGTTTCCAATACATAATATTAGTTTTGAAATTTTGGAGGTAATATGAAAGCAATAAAAACAAGGATCATCGTGCAGTTATAAAGAAGTACTGGAATGAGTAATCAAGGAGTTTGTTGGTTATTTTGTGTACACTTTGGGACATGTACACCTGTACTTCAAAAATGGACCAATATATGTGAAGAAGTTGTACACAAGTAGGTGGACCGACGGTAACTTATTAAAAAATAAAATACATAATAAAATAGATCAAGTTAAACTGAATATGATGTACATGAAAATAGGTGTACACATGGGTTATGCATTTTGTAAAACCTTTGTAATATAAAACCACAATTGATGTGCAACAAGCATATTTCGAACATATGTGTACATTAATAATATATAATATTGTACATAACCACGATTGTACACATGTACATAACCACAAATGTACACATTTACACACAAGTACACATGTACGTAGTCATTGTACATGTGTACACTACCATTATGTACACATCCACGTGGTCTTCCAATTAAAAAATTTTAGTGAATGGCAATTTTGTAATAAGTTTACCTTCTTCCTAGTAGGGTTTTCTGCGTTTTCTGCAAATATAATACACAGCCGCCATTGATTTTTATCATACAATCTTCATTGTTTTGCATTTTATCTCTAGAACTTACTAATATCTCTATATAGATTAACATATTATAATCCAAAATAAAAAAAAACCAGATAAAAACCCACAAAGTAAACGCAGAAGCCTTCACTGTAATTTTCTTATACATGGACACTTCCAAAATTATATAGATTAATAGATTAGAATTCAAAACCAAGAAAAAAAAATAGATTACAAAATAATCTCTCCAGTAGCCCTCTTCATATTATGTCGTTTATCTCTGTCATACAAGTGAACAATCTTTTTTATTTTTTTCTTAGAAAAACTAAAACCATTCAAACATAAAATAAATTAAAAATATATAATAATCCCTAACTAATTAAAATGTTTATAGTTACATTTTTAAGGGGCAAGTTAAGTCTTTTCATCAAAAAACTGCCTCAGTAGTGGAAACTGCCTCATTCTGATAATAAAAACACGAAACTGTCCCACAGTGAAAATTACTCTTTTTTTTACGACAATGCTGTCACGTGTCAATGTCTGAATCTTCTTCGGAAAATTTTCACAGAAACCCTCCTACTTTCTATTATTTGTAAATTTACCTCTAACTTACCAAAAGTATTAGAATACCCACTCAACTTACTGTATATGTATCTCCGACAGTTTGTTCGTTCTTTTTATCACAAGATCGCAAATACACATATTCGTAGACAGTTACGAGAATCTCAAACTTTGTTCCTCTATGTAAGATGCTGGAAATGTGTTGTAAGAGTCATAAACAGAACACAAGAAGTAAGATCAAGTCATATACCTCTACTCTCTACATTCATTCTGTTCTAACTAAAGAGGTGTTTTAACGTGTCCATTTTATGAACAGATACAATATAACAATCGTTACGATCATACCGACGTATTTGATCCAAGTATCAACACGATTACGCCTCTCAATAAGCCTGAGTACAGAGTTGGAGAGTCCTACTGTGTTCAGAACATCCAAAGCCTTACGCTGTGCCCTCTATAAATTCCAAAAAAAAAAAAAGGTTAATGGCATCAAAACTATGACTTTGTAATACTACAGATTAAGCTTAAGAGTAAGAGTTAACCTTCAAACGATCTCTCTGTTCAGCGTATTTGGAAAGGATAGCGACTCCACTTGCAAACGAATCTTCAAGCAATCTCTTTGAATTCTTCACAGAGTTCATTGCTTGAGCCTCGTCATCAAATATCTGCAATATGTGTGCTCCTTCTCCACTCCCTCTGTTTAACAACTCTGCCTTCTCTTTAGCTTCCAGCATCTTTCTCTGATTCCTCCACGTGTACTTTTCAAGACTCTGGTTCAGAGACTCAGCCTCTTCTCCCACTTTTTCAGTCTTTCTACAAAATTTGCTTTTGATTATCAACATAAAATTCAACAAATAATGATAAAATTACTCTAACTAACTAATGCTAAAGAGTCATATCAGATTCAAAACAAATCTAACTAACTACTCTAACAAAGTAACAAACTACTCTAACAAAGTAACAAACTACTCTAACAAACTATTCTAACAAACTATTCTAACAAACTATTCTAACAAACTACTCTAACAAACTATTCTAACAAACTACTCTAACAAACTATTCTAACTAACTAATGCTAAAGAGTCCTATTAGATTCAAAACATATCTAACAAACTATTCTAACTAACTAATGCTAAAGAGTCACACCTTCTCCCGAGATCGCGTTCTGATCTAACAGAGATTGATCGCCAGAGAGAATCCATGTTGGAGCAGAGAGATTTAAGCTCCGTGACGTCACGTTTCACGGAGGAGGTTAGATCAGAAGAATCCACAAGAGAAGCGGACTCGAACCTCTCCAACCTCTCGATTCCGTCGCGAGCTCTGAGTAGAATCCTTTGCGCACTGATGTATACATCCGATAAGGAACCGCCTCCTCCGACGATCGCGGTCGCCATTGTTTCAGGTAAAACCTGCAGATCTTCTCGTCGCCGAAGGCTTCTCTGAGATAAGAGATTTTTATCGCGGGGTAATCGAAAACGTTATTATTACTCCCTGGATGCTTTGTTAGGCCCATCTAATGTTTATTGGGCCTTTAGTTAGCGTTTTTTGGGCCATATTCTGAAGACAAGCCCACTGAAATGATGATGAAAGTTTGGGTAGTTAATCTCTTAAACAAAAGATAATTAGTAGAAAAAAAGTTGGATATGATATTTAAGTGATGATGATGTAGCTAATGTGGGAGTGGAATCCACACTAATATTTTTTTTTTTTACTTGCTTATTTGTTCTATAGTCTTTTTTTTTGTCGACCGTTCTATAGTCTAGAAATATGTTCATTTTTTGTGTATATACTAATGGAAGTTGAAGATTCCTATTAAAATGTGTACCAACAAGGGGACAAAGTGGAAGAACTATTCTATGCTGCTCAAGGATCATTTTTGGATAGACTCATAATTTTGGGTTTATTAGCATTAAACTCAAGTGTCTTAAATTGTGGAATTATTAAGAGCATCCCAATCCTCATTTGATTTCTTATTCCAAAATAGATTTCAAAGAAAATTTTTTTTTAATTATATTCATTTTTCTTATTATATATTAAAATAAAATATGAGTTTATTCTTTAAATAGAGTAATGCATTTTTGTTTTGTTACATACTCTAATTCATTAAATTATTCTGTTTTAATTTAAAGAGAAAAAATGAAGTTTTATGTTGGAATGCTTTAAAGTTGTGAAAACTATTGGAGATGAATCCAGCAAATCAGAACCACCTGTATATCATTAATTAATAGTTAAAAAGGTTTGAATGACTCACCATGAGAATAGTTAATGACAGTAAGTAAACTCGTATGAAATGTTGCAAATATATTAGTGTTTGGTGTAATAGTTACTTATACCTTTGCATAAATTAGTTGAGTGGTCTAATAAATTGATAAAACCATAAAACATCAGCAAGCAAACAAAAAATGCCATCTCATGACCGTACAATCATACATACAATTAGGGACTTATCATACAAATAGAAAACGTTCACGAAAGAGGAAAAAGATATAATCGTTGATAGGAAAGACAATTTACTCACAGGAAAAAACATTCACATGAAAAAACATTCATCAAAGCAAGCTAACCGTTGAAAAAAACAACTAACAAAAAGTATCACTATAAAATAAATTGTATGTGTAAGGTTGATTAGAGGATCTTTTCTATTGGACCACATGAGTAACATCATGATATATCATTGCTTGATAAGTTTCATATTGATAGACATTTGGATGGAAAATTATTTTATCATTTACAACTATGTTAGAGGTTCCAGTGTTTTCACAAACTAAATTAATTTGAACCTAGAAGAGAAGGTTGAGAAATAGAAACAAATGAAAAGAAAAGGTATTGACTATAAAAGCTAGTGGGTGACACATATGTATGACCAAACCAAACACAAATGAATTAGAACTAACATGCTCACACATGCATCCCCACCCGAGTATGTCAGTTCTATATATTTTTTAAAAATGTATCATACTATTAGTTTCGTTGGAAATGGATTAGATTATTTACTTAAAATTATAATTTACAATTAAGTAAACTAAAATAGTTAATTAATAGCACAAGTTTAACACCTTAGTATATACACTTCATTTGAATTTAGTAGTTAGTATTTTTGTTGGATGAAAATGTACCTAATGATCCATTCTAGTCACAGAAATTTTGTGCCAACCGTGAAAAAAAATAAGAGAATTGCTAAAACGTTGTTTCCGTGAGGTATTTTTAAACCTGATATTAAGTTTTTTCCTTGTCACCAAGTTTTTATCTTTTATTATGTCTTTTTTTTTAAACTACTGAAACTTTACCTTAAAAAAAAAAAAACTACGAAACTTTACTTACAAACAGGATCGTAATACAGCTAGCAAAGAACCTCGCAATTTTCTGAAAACAAGTACGAACCTGACAATTAAGTTGGAGATTCGCAAAACCAAGATTCCTTAACCTTTACAATAATCGAAAAATCGTGCAGGCACTTCCGAAAGTTCCAGCCAATTATTAGTAGATAAGGAATTAGTAAATGAAACTTTAAAAATAGTGAGCCAATTATTAAGAGCTAAAGCATATTATTGAACTACAAAAAGAGCACGTGCGAAGTTGCGATGTGATTTGGGTATCGATTTTGGTGGAAAGCACAAAATAAGCAATAAAAATGTCTTTGTCTTGATCAGTTGTTTTGTTAGAATTTTGATAGGTTTACCTTTAATTTTGATCAGTCCATTCATTTTTGCTTTCATGAATTGGCTGTCGAATTATATGTTCGTTTGTCGTTACATAGCTGTATTTATATTCCCATTATAGCTAACTTATGTTATTATATGGGGACTAGTCCACCAAATCGAAATCTCACTAGAAGAGATTTGCCACTTGTTAATATCTCTCACATATATAGGTTGATGATACGGCGAAGCTGTCTCAGTTGTACCATCTCGAAAGTAAATAATACAATGTCTCAGCAGTGCCATCTACAAAGTCAATAATGCAATCTAGGAAATAATTTCATAGTTGAGTTTTTTTTTCTTTGAACTGTTAAATTCATTCTTTTTCTTTATTTTTGACATCAATTCACTCTTTTTATTATCATTATCAAATACATTATTTATAGTCAAGTTACTAACTGTTAGCTATATTGTAAATACATACGATTTTGATGTTTAGAAAATACCACAATTTTAAAAATGAATCAGTTAAATACATATATTATTTCACTGTAAAAGCCAAAAGCCTTTTGTCAGGAAAAATTCAGTTATTTTTTTTTTTGAGAGATAGTGGTGACTTTCAAATATGATACTACTTCCAGTTTATTTTTCATATTTGGTAAACTATTGGTTTGTTGCTCTTCTCCTCATTTAAACAATGGACCTGACTTTTAATGTTGAATTTCGAGAAGTTAATAGGCAATAGAAGATGAGAGGGTTCTAAATGAAAGTCAAGGATATATCATGTGTTCATGTGTAATTGTTAATTTCTAGACCTAGAAACATTAAATTTCGTGAGAAAATGAACTACCTCTCTATATAGTAGCACTATTATTTCCCTCTTTCACTGATAAGACTATTAACTTTAAAAATATTGATGCATGATACTACTGGGAACCATTTGACATATGAAGAATATGTTAACCTCATGATTTTTTAGTTCTTCCCTCGATTATTCGTGATATTTAATCATACTAGCAAACAATGCAAGTAAGTGCGTGATCACGGAACTAAAACAAATAGGGGCACGATCACAATGAGTGTCACCACTTCCACCACTTTTGAGTAGAGGTACTCGAGTGGGCATTCAAGAATTTTTGTTTGTCTCTAATTCAAATTCTACTATATAATAATAATATCATATGCATTGTATGCGTTTGTGTACTATATTCAAGAGTGTGTGATGATGTGCGTTTGTTTTAACTTATAATTTTGATAGGAATAAGAGATACATTAAGATACAAAACTATACATTTATAAATTTATAATCCCTTTGTTTGTTTGGGGAGGGAATTTGGACCACACAACTTTACATTATCATATAGTTATTGATTTTCACTTTCATAATTGTTTTACTAACTAAGCGAGAGCGCATGACATCTTTGGTTAATTATGCAGTGTTTAAGAAAAAAATGGCTAATGACATTTGAGTCTTTGACCACAAGAAATCTTTTCTTGACTTAGTCTGGATCCGTACACACGTGACTAACCAAAATGTTATTGAAACTAAACCGGAATAAATATTATTAAAATTTACAGACTAAAACTAGTCTATTAAAAGGTTTGAGCATCATTTCTTAGACCATCCCCATTGAAGGTTCATGGGGGGAATTCACACGGAAATCAAAAAAAAAAAAAAAAAAAATAACAAAAACCTATGAATCCCTCTCTCCTAAAGTTCACTCCGGTGAACTCCTCTCTCCTGAGGTTCAACACGTGGCGGCTCAGAATTGGTCTAGATTTCTTTTTTGTTTTTTTTTTTAAAAAAAAAATTAAAAAGAAAATAGAAAATTTTTAATAATAAAAAAATGATTCAATGAACCCCAAGAGTGGATTCATTGATGTGGATGCTCTTAGGTTTGTAATATACGAAATCATTCTCATACGTTATGAACTTATGAAAAGGTGTTTTGTCAACAAAACATAAAATCTAGTAGTGTTAGAGTAAAAGATAGAAAACAATCGTTGCTCACAATGGAACGTAATTGTCAAAAATATACTAATGGATTGCGTATTCCATGTTCTTTGACCTTTTAATAAACGGTCGTTGCCTCGTTTGGTAGAAACTCGCATGCATTAACACATTTTAAGAAGACTTATTCTTGGATTCATCCCCTAGGGTAGAAACTCGCAACCAATAGGGTGGTGTTATTTAATATTTGATATCTTTTAAAAAGGAAACAAAATCTTGTCAAGTTATATTATGTTTTTAAAATAAAAATAGAAAAAATAAATAAAATATTAATATATACAAAAACGAAAAAAAATCTTTAAAAAAATATTTTAACATTATATTATGTTGTAAAAGAAAAGATAAAAATAAAATAAAAACAGTAATAATTGCAAAAAACAATTTAAAACAAAAAATATTTTAATATATCTTCAAAATAAAAACATGTGTTTAAAATAAAAAGATAAAAATAAATAAAAAATAGTATAATTGATTAGTATTAATTTTAAGATTTTTCCAAAGGGTTTATGATTTACCCAAGGGTTTAGGGTTTAGGATTAGGGTTTAGGGTTTAGTATTAGGGTTTAGGGTTTAGGATTAGAGTTTAGGGTTTAGTGTTTTAGTGTTAAATATTTTTTTTTTAAGTTTTTTTCGTTTTTTAAATATTATTATTTTTTATTTATTTTTTGTATTTTTATTTTAAAAACATAATATAATTTGACAAGATTTTGTTTCTTTTTTTAAAAGATATCAAATATTAAATAATATCACCTTATTGGTTGGTGAACCTAGAGGTTCACCCTAAGGGGTGAACCTAAGAATAACTCTTTTAAGAAAGTTCTAGTCAATATATAGTTAGCTATATTAAGTTTTGCTTTACAAAAAAAGCTATTATCCCGCATATAATCTTTGCACGA